ATATATATATATATATATATATATATAAGGACCAAAACCAAAAGTGATATATTTTATAGGGACTAAAAATATATTTAAGTCTATGTTTTAGTTGTAAATTAAGCTTTTCATATTTTTTTAGTTTTAATATATATATATACATATATTTTTTAATTATATTAATATTTTTAATGTTTTATATGATGTATTCTTTTTAATAAAATAAATGTTTATAGTTTTTATTATTTTAATGTTGTGGAGGCCAGGCGATGGCACAATGTGCTCTTTGCACAATAGTGCATTTTTGATTAACAAGTAACTTCTGAAGCGGGAATCTAAAGTACAATTCATGAATGTGTATTTTGTAAAATGAGTTAGACTGCATTTGGTTTTCTGCTAATTGATATGTAGTTTTTTTTAATGTACTGAATCTCATGCATTCTCTGTGATTGTAGGGAGAACCTGTGAAGGTTTTTGCCAACGATAACAAAAAGATCACTTGTGGTGAGTATGTGTTTCATAATATATCTGAAGTTCAGTTGTTGCTGCCTTTTGTGTAACTTTAGAAAGATTTACAACAAATGACTATATATGGCTGTTGTGACTTGTGAGAAAGAATTTTTTTTTTTAGCTCATAAAAGCATTTATAGAACAGTTAGGGTATTTGAGAGTTAGTAGGGAAGGGGAAGGGTTCAAGAATAAATGAAATGAATTAGTTAAATTTAAATGATCAAATGATCTTAATATTTTTCTTAAAAAAACTAACAAACTCAACCCAATATATGCCCATTGCCCAGGCAATTGTTTTAGAAGACTCCAATCTCTTTCCCTCCTTTTACAGGGACAGCTCACCACAAGTGTTTCCTTCCCTTTCCCTCCCAAATCCCTCATTTAGACTGATAAGTACCCAAGCAATTGGGGAACCCTCCCTTAAAAGCTAGCTGTTAAGGGGGGAGAACCAAACACTTGAATACTCCACTGAGCATCCCATACTACCCAATGCTGGACTTTGGCACCCTGTAATACCATGTCCCTATCATAGCACCACCCTTAAGAGCTGATGTCTTGACAGCTGACACTCTACAACACTTCACTCAGCCTTTCTGGTCAGCCCTTTTGTACGTAGTTCTCTCTGAGACATTGACAACTAGCTCTGATATGAATTGACAAGTATCCAAGCACTTGGGGAACCCTCCGTTAAAAGCTAGCTGTTAAGGGGGGAGAACCAAGCTCTTAAATACTCCACCGAGCATCTCATACTACTTGATGTGGGACTTAAGAACCCCAGAATACCCAAGTCCCTATCACAAACACGCTCTTAATGTTTTGACATCTTCTATATGAAGTTAACTTTTCCAATTCACACCTTATGCAACATCAGATGTTCTTGGAAAGGGGTATTGTACCATCAGGGTTGTTGGACAAATTTAAATTGTGTCTTATTAATTTATTTGTATTTGTGACAAATAAATATAAAAAGGATGATGTAGTTTCAATTTTTATGCATTCATTGGGATGAAGTTATCAAAAGTAGATAATTTAATATTAGAAAAGTTTATTAGAACAATAGATATTAGACACAAGGAGGATAAAATATCATCCCAAGAGAAAAGTAAAAAACAACTTAATCCGAGCCAATTTTTCTGTTTTGGATGTGTCATACATGTATTGATTTCAGTAGTGATATAGCTTTTCTTTTGTCCCTTATCTTCTTATTTTCTTGGGCTGCAAAATTGTGGCGAGTCCCTAAAATAGTTTATTGAGTTCTCTATTGTTATTTGTTCTCAGATCCCGATATGCAGAGCCACATAGAGAGGACTTTTTATAGTGGACAAGCTTCATATAAAGTTTCTCTTTCGGTAATTCAATGAAAGTAGTTTTCTTAATTTTTATGAATTTCCTTTGAATGTTAGTTTCAAAATATTATTTTAGCCATCAGTCTTCTTTATGAAGAACTCCTAACAGTTTTATAAATATTTTTGGCTTGATATTACAGACTGGATATCTTGATATATGGGAACCAGCCACATTGGCCATTAAGAGGGAAGGTTACAGTATAAAATGCAGTGGACCAAATGGAGTCGTAATCACAGAAAAATTGACATCGTCCACCACTGTATGATGTTTTATTGTTTGATAATCTGTTTGAATATTTGGCTAATTTATTTTTGATTCAAAGAAGTGAAGTGGTATTCATTCAAATATTCAATGAAATGTCCCTTTCTGCTTTTAATCACAAATTTATCTATTAATTTTTCTCATGCCAAGACTCCTTTTATATAGGATAAACCTTTGGAGAAACTATCTGGCATTTTGAAGAGTTGATCTTGAGTGGTTAGCTAATTTTTAGATATTGCTTCTTCATTTACTTCTGTAGGTTGTGATTCCATATGGACATACTTCAGAATTTATTATAATGGGTTCCAGTGGTGCTGAACACCTTTTAAAAGCAGAAAACAACTCCACAGATGTCAGTGGGTAAGTATTTATAACAGTTCTCTTGATACATAATCTAATTGACAATAGGAATTAAGTTGCACCTTTGAAATGTTTCATGTGCAAATATTTCATCATTGACTGGAACTGATCCCCCCAATAGATTTCACCATCTAGCTTGCTATGTTTTATTATCTGCTAATGAAAAGGGATCGTATTAAATGGAAAACTATTTTTATATTGAATATGAATATGTGTGTTTTATTATCTGCTAATGAAAAATGATTGTATTAAATGGAAAACCTTTTTTTTTAATTATTATTATTATGTATGTTGATGGATATGGAATAATTTTTCAGAGGAGTTCTTGGGTGCAGTTAGGTTCTTACACTGATTGAGTAATAATACATATATCTGGATGATTGACTTGACATGAGAGAGTGGCCTAATTTTTAAGCTTAAGCTGACCTAAAATTTTGGACCCTTGTGAAAGCACTAGAAATTCCAATCCCGTTCTCTATCTTATCAATCTGTTGGAATAGAAGGGCAGCCATAGGCCTATGGCATCCTTGGTGTTTGATAAATGAGACTTCATATTTCAGTAGCCAACATGTGTTTATTTTTGTGCCTTCTTATTTGTGGTTACTTCTGCGTCTATCTCTAAATGCAATACAAGACCTTGAGCAGAATTTTAATATTTTTCTTTTGTTATAATATACTTGTGTATTTTTATTATCTTTATTACCCAAAGTTTGCAATTCTGAGAAGTAATAATTTTAGCTCTTGCTTCTGTTCATTTTGGATAACAAAGGCAAATACGTTTTCTTACTGATGATATCATAGTTTATTTATTTATTCCTGCAAACAGATGGCGAAGATATTCTTTATAATATTTAGAAAAAATCTATTTCTTTTTTGTTAGAATAGCCTATGTATTTATTATTATTTCTTTTATTTTGTAGTAATTATTTGGGGAATTCCAAACCTTGTTATGATATGATCATTGACAAAATCAATTATGTCTTTTTGATCAACTTCTTTCAAAGGAATTGCCTCTACCCATTTTGTAAAGTAATCTATAGCAACTATTATATATCTGTGATTTTTCGAGGAAGGTAGATGAATCTGTCCTATTATATCGAGAGCCCAACCTCGAAATGGCCAAGGTTTAATGATCGAATGTAACTCACTCACTGGTACCCTTTGTATTGGTCCATGTTTCTGACATTTTTCACAATTTTTAGCGAATTCGATACAATCCTTAATCATATTTGGCCAATAATATCCTTTTCTCGACAAAATCCACCTCATTTTTTCACCTGCTTGATGTGCCCCACAAATACCTTCATGTACTTCTGCCATAGCTATATAACTTTCATGATTCCCGAGGCATTTAAATAGAATTCCATCGAAACCTCTCTTGTATAATTTGTTATTTAGCATGACGTAATTAAGGGCTTGGAATCTGATCTTTGTTTCGACTTTCAAATTCAGATTTTGAAGGTACTCAATCAACTCTCTCCTCCAATCTTGAACGCTGCTTGAGGTGTTAATCATGAAGTCTTCCAAGTTACCTATTAACTCGTTTTCTGTATGGATCAAAGATTCGAGACATCCCTTACTCATTTTATACCCTGATGCGATTTGAGCCAGTTCATTTGTGATTGTGTTTGCATTTTGAGAAATGTGTTCTAACTCAACCTTATCAAACGTGTTTAGTAACTCAATGGCTCCAGCTTTTCATTCGACCAGTTTTTTATTTGAACATTTATACTCCTGAGTTAATTGTTTAATGACAAGTTGAGAATCTCCTCGAACTACTATGTTCTTAGCTCCTAATTCCTTAAGGATTTCCAATCCAGCAATGAGTGCTTGGTATTCCATTTCATTATTCGAGTACCCTTTATTTGCTTTTAGTGATAATTTGGTCGGAATTCCTTCAAGGGAAATGATTAACAAGCGTATCCCAACTCCTAACTCATGTTTCGAGCCATCGAAAAATAATTCCCAAGGTTTCGTTTTTAGGTAATTCACTTGTTCAGTTAATCTCGAGTGATCTACAAGAAAATCTGCAATTACTTGTCCCTTAGTGGATTTAAGAGGAACAAAAGTTAGTGAATATTCAGTTAATGCAAGTGCCCATTTTCCAATTCAAATGCAATACAGGTTTACCCAACATATACTTAATGACATTACTTCGACAAAATACCAATACATCAAAAGGTCTAAGATAGTACTTCAACTTTTTACAAGCACAATATAAACTTAAACATAATTTCTCTAAAGGAGTATATCTAATCTCTGCTCCGACCAACATTCTACTTAGATAATAAATTACTCTTTCGATGCCATTATTATCATCCTACGCCAGCATGCCTGCAATAGTCAAATCGTTGGCTGAAACATACAATTTCAACTGTCTTCCTTTAGAGGGTGATGCTATCACTGGAGGATGAGCCAAATAAGCTTTGATTTCCTCGAATGTTTTCTGGTACTCTTCTTCCCATCGAAATTCCTCCTCCTTTTTCAAACGTAATAATGGAGAAAACACTTTAGGTTTGCCAGATAAATTCGAGATAAATCTTCTAAGAAAATTTATTTTACCTAGGAGAGATTGAAGTTCTTTCTTGTTCGATGGAGACCTAGTTTCTATGATGGCCTTAGTTTTGTTCTTATCCACTTCGATCCCTTTTTGATGCACGATAAATCCCAAAAACTCTCCTGCTGTGACACCAAAAGCACATTTTAGTGGATTCATTTTTAGACCATGTTTCCTCATTCTCTCGAAAGATAATTTTAAATGGCACAAATGTTCCTCCTTTTGTTTCGACCCAACAATTATATCATCAATGTATACTTGCACAAACTTACCTATCAAATCATGAAATATTAAATTCATTGCCCTTTGGTATGTGGCACCTACATTTTTTAATCCAAATGGCATCATCACCCATTCATACACACCTAAAGCTCCTGGACATCGAAAAGCAGTTTTCGATATATCATTAGCTACAATGTAAATTTGATTATATCCAGAATAACCATTTATTAAACTTATAATTTCGTTACTTGCAGTTGCGTCTATCATTGTCTTAGCGATAGGCATAGGGTATTCATCTTTGGGGGTAGTTGTATTAAGATCTCGAAAGTCAATACATACCCTGAGTTTTTCGTTTTTCTTTATAACGGACACAACATTCGATATTCACTCCGCATATCTTGAGGTCCTAATAAACTTAGCTTTCAACAACCTCTCAATTTCTTCCTTAATCTTGTCGATCACTTCTGGGACAAATCTTCGAGGATTTTGTTTTACTAGCTTCTTCCCAGGGATTGTTGGCAATCTATGTTCTACCAACCCTCGATCCAAACCAGGCATTTCATCATAATCTCAAACGAAGAAATCTTTAAACTCGTGTAATACTCGAATCACTTCTTCCCTTTGCTTTTGGAAATAACCAGCTTGTGAAAAAAATTGGTTAGAGAAATCTCATAGCTCTTTAATGGGTGTTTACATGATTTTTTAAATATTTTTCACAACATATAATAAACTCAAGATAGTCCAATTGATCATGCTCTAAACTACGGGAAAAAAAAACTTTTGATACGTAAACTTCTCATTTTATTTGTATATATGTTTCAATAAAACTTAGAAGAATAATATGAATCAATTAATGTTCAATTTTTGTTCCTAAGGTCATGAATACATTACTTCTTCGGAATCTCCAATTATTTTTCTGTAGAATGATACATTAGTATTGTGATATTTTATATTTATAATAAATAAATTATATTGCGGTACACAGTTATTTTTAACTATTAGTAATTTATTTAAAAAATATTGTAATTTAATTTATATATAAACATAAAAAAATATATTAAAATAAGAGGTTAAGAAATTTTTTTAAAAGCATATATCAAGAAAATTCTTAAAAACATTTTTATTGAGTAATAACTCAAAAAAATTACACCGATAACTAATAAAAAAATGTTTTTTTTTTAAGATAATTATTCTACTTTAAGAGAGAAGATGGCCTGCAGTATGGTTGTTGGCTGTTGGTATTGTAGTGACAACGATTTCTTCATTTGATTGTGAAAAGAAGTTACCAACACGTCCATTTTCAACTGAGATGTCTCTGCCAATAATTTGCCAAAAAAAAATTTGTTACCGACGACATTATGTTATGTAAATGACTTTTGGCGCTAATTAATAACCCTTTTCTTATAGTGAAATTACTCTTATAATGTACTTGGAGGAGAAATTTTAAAAAATTTTAAATTTTTAAATTTGAATTACTTTAATAATTTTAATTTTTATAAGTATTTAAATGTTTTATTTAAATAAGTTAACTTAAATTTTTTAATTTTAAATTCTTAGTATGAATATGATAATTTGAATTTTATTATGAATAAAATTTGTTATATATATATATAGATAGATATACATTTTGAGATTAGTGGTAGGAATTGAAGTAGAATACACAAGATTTTAGATTCGAATTCTAATGTTATTATTATAATTCTGATAGATAAAAAAGATACACATTGAGATTTTAAGATTAAATTTTATAAAAATAAATATTAATTAGCTTTTAAATAATTAATAATTTTAAAAATTAATATTATATAATATTTAATATTTTAAAAATATTTTTTTTTGAATATTCTTTTTAAATACAGTTCAGACCTTTGTGGAACCTCAAGTGGTAAAGATTATAGTATAGAGAAAGAGAACTAGATATGTGAACAAACTTGTACTGTGTTAATATTAATTTGCTTACAATATATTTGGTGGAATCATTATTCTTTAACCTCTTAGCAAGAAAGAGAAATTTCTTTTTAATCAAGAGAAGTATCCCATTTCAAGCTTTCAAATGGTTGCAAATTGCAATTGGCAATCTCGTTTCTGACTTACATATTTCTGAATTTTTTTTTTCTGTTTTGGCTTCTGCTTTTAATAATATATATGTTTCTCCTTTTGCAGAGGTAGAGACACTATTGTGCTCACTTTGAGATTATTCATCCTAAGGGTATATAAAATTTCTCCTTACTTTATGTACTACTGATTAATATAAATGCATAGTTTATATGCTTGAAATTTTCCATTTTGCCTTCTGTTTGCTTGGCGTGTCATGTTATATAAACACAATAAATTTGTGTTTTCTAGCCCCATAGTGGCATGTCCCATGCACCCTTAGCTACGCATGATAAACCAAAAAAGAAAGATAGAGATAATGGTAGGGCATCAGTTTTCCAACATCATAAATATTGTTTAATTTAACCAGTCATTACTGTTAACTGTGAACAATATATGTTCCCTGCTTGAGTAGTATTAGTATGGGATTGTTTAATTAGATTCCTTTAGTTCCCTTGACTTATTGCTTCAGTTCTTAAAAATATATTGCAAAGCCAGAATATTACTTCAGTCCATTTGTTATTTATGTATTTTGTTTATTTATTTATGTTCTTTTTCATTTGTTTTTAGAATAGAATATTTTGAGCCTGCATTGAAGAGTATATATTTAAGGTTTCTTTTGACTTTTCTGCTTCTGCAGGCTGGGGATAGAAAAAAGAAAGTAAAGAAGAAGGGACTGTTCTTCAAGTGAGGGAATGTCAGGTGTCTGGCAGAAAATCTGTGGTGCGTGGAATGTGCGGACCGAGATGGGGATTGGGAGTTGTGTGTTGTGTGCTACCTACATTTTTGCTCCTTTACATTCTATAATAGGGCAGAATTAGCTTGAGCTGTAATTGTGAATTTATGCAATCATTTTTTCTTTCTTTCAATATTTAGCAATTCTTTTTAGCTCTTTTCCCTGCCATGTAAGTCAATCGTACTGCATGCTGCTCTTATCATTTTGTGCATGGCTTTGCGTGGGCCCGTGTGCAATATGCCTGCATTCACATGCTATGTTCCTCGACTTTCATCAACTAAAATGGTTCAGAGGAAAATGATATAGTTGACGTTTGAAATTGGCGAAACATGTTTCCTATGTCAGTGTTTAGGTTGATTTTTTTTTTAATAAAACAATCCTTTTGAAATCTTCTAAATGCTTCAAGTTTGTCCATAGACACGACTTATAGGCATTATTTCCACCCTGTACGTAGGGGTGGGTATATGGACTCGAGTCCGCGGACCGGTCCGTAAGTCCGCGGACTTCACGGATAACGGACTCAATTTTTTTAATCCGTATAATCATATGGACTTTTTAGGTCCGGCCCGTTAAGTCTGCGGATTTTGCGGATTTAATCCGCGAGCCCGCGGATTACCCGTTTAAATGTGGAACTTTAAATTTGTTTGGTTGTGTATTAAGACTTTTAAAGTTTTAAGGTAGTAAGGCTTTAATATTTGGTTAATAGTTGGTATGCTTGGACTTTAAATTTTAAAGGCATTGAGACTTAAATATTTCTATTAGAAATTTAGAATGTATAAACTTTGTTATTTAAGACTTTGGTTTATTATTTATATAATGTTTGATGTTACTATTAGAAGTATATTTATATCATTTTATATGTATTTTTTTTCCTCATGTTTTCATAGGTTAAATAAAGAAAAAGAAATTCAAAATCTCATTAAATGTGTCAATATTCATTAAAAAAAATTAGATTTAATTGGGCCCGCGGACTTATCCGTTTATCCGCGGGTTTCACGGGCCGGATACGGACTTGAAAATTTAAGTCCATTTATTTCGCGGACCGGATTTATCCGGCCCGTTAAAAATGCGGATTTCGCGGACCGGGCCTTAAACGGGCCGGACCGGTCCGCATACCCACCCCTAGGTATATGGACTCGAGTCCGCGGACCGGTCCGTAAGTCCGCGGACTTCACGGATAACGGACTCAATTTTTTTAATCCGTATAATCATATGGACTTTTTAGGTCCGGCCCGTTAAGTCCGCGGATTTTGCGGATTTAATCCGCGAGCCCGCGGATTACCCGTTTAAATGTGGAACTTTAAATTTGTTTGGTTGTGTATTAAGACTTTTAAAGTTTTAAGGTAGTAAGGCTTTAATATTTGGTTAATAGTTGGTATGCTTGGACTTTAAATTTTAAAGGCATTGAGACTTAAATATTTCTATTAGAAATTTAGAATGTATAAACTTTGTTATTTAAGACTTTGGTTTATTATTTATATAATGTTTGATGTTACTATTAGAAGTATATTTATATCATTTTATATGTATTTTTTTTCCTCATGTTTTCATAGGTTAAATAAAGAAAAAGAAATTCAAAATCTCATTAAATGTGTCAATATTCATTAAAAAAAATTAGATTTAATTGGGCCCGCGGACTTATCCGTTTATCCGCGGGTTTCACGGGCCGGATACGGACTTGAAAATTTAAGTCCATTTATTTCGCGGACCGGATTTATCCGGCCCGTTAAAAATGCAGATTTCGCGGACCGGGCCTTAAACGGGCCGGACCGGTCCGCATACCTACCCCTACCTGTACGTGAACTGTTTCATTGCAGGGCAGCCTTTCGAAGGTAAACTTTGGGAATGTGATATTCAGTCCCATTGTCACCTTGTTGCCTAACGATGATTAAGGTGTTCCCCCAACTTAAGATGACCATGGTTTACATGATATATACTACGTAAAGGATAGAGGTGTATGGCGGTTTAGAAGTGGATAGAAATTGTAGTTATAAATCGGTGTTGACTGATGGATGGGAGGATACATATCCAGATTCCATAGTCACAGGGTTTAAGGAGTTCGAGGATGAAACCGTATTAGAAAGATTACTTGGTTTCTCAAGTTTGAAATGATTTTATTAACATGCACCAGGGAAACATCATATAATATCGGTTGCACTGTTTAGTGTCTTTTGCTCAAGGTGTCATGTTGGGGTGTTCTAAAACGAACAATTTATGTACATGATGTTAATGTTAATCATGTCACATGGTGGATTGATTTTTGTTCCACAATCCATGTTTCTAACACCTTATGGTATGGAAAACCCAAGAAAACCACTGGAAAGTGATGGAAGAGGTTAGTGAGAAGTGATGAATGTTCTTCTCTCCACAACAGTATGAAAACAAATTTTAATTGCCGGATAATTTGAAGGTATTCATTGGTGATTCACTCTAAGGAACTCTTTGAATGTTTCTTGGAATTTGAACAATGATGTTGAGTGCTGTTAGCACTGATATGATTACGAAAATTTCTATGTATGACGGTATAACCATTTTTGTGGCTTTTGCATAAATATATCAGTTTAATCACCAAATTATAAACAGGGTACCCCCTAGTCCTCTACTTTGATTCTGAACTTTTGTTTGGCTGCCTGCAAGCATTTGGGAATCTGGATCTCTGACAACCTGGGTTTAGCCCTTCCAATTTTATTTATTTTCATTCTTTAGTTGTGCTTTGATCAGTTTATTTGTCTCTTTTAGTACGAAAATGATCTTTATGGTATATACTGTCTAGGATTATTAAGTAGTATTATGTTCCTCTTTTATGGTATATCTATTGTGTCATCTTTATTGATGATATAGAACTCAGCACCAGTTGTGATATTTTACTGACTTATGGACTTGTGTTGCTTGATCTCTTTTACTGTTGCTATTGCTGAAGAGCTTCAACATTTGAGAAATAGTCTACCTGATCAAGTTGTTGTTCAACGTATAGAAGAAAGATTATCTGCTCTGGGAAATTGTATAGCATGTAATGACCATGTGGCTCTCACACACACTGATCTTGACAGGGTATTGACTTATTATAGATTATAGCATTTTCTTTCATTGTTCAAAATATTTATAAATATTAATTGTGTATCAAATATTTATACTATATTACAGAAACAAATTAATGTGATATCTTTACCACAATAAAACTTTTTTCCATCTAAAAGATATTATATTCTCAACTCCCATGAAAAATAAATTTGAGAAAAAATTATATAAAAAACATTTTGTAGAAAATCATGTTTTCTAAGAATTTTCTACAAACTGATATGTTAAACTTTCTTTGATTTGTCTTATTAGAAGAATTGAAATTTTGATTGTGGAAGAAGAGGGAAAAAAATATGGTTATACTCTGTGAATTGTATTATATAGAATTTTAGATTATTTTAGAAATGCATATATATAATAAGTAGAGTCAGAATACAGTTTAAGGAAAAATACAAATTCAAATAGTTCTTAATGGGAAGGAATTATTATTATTTGAATGCAAATTATAACTAGCCTAATTGTTCTTGTTTCTTCTGATTTGCCTATCCTTATCAGTTTCTTTTCACATATGACATGCTTATATAAAATACAAAGCTAATTATGGTGGTTTCATAATCAAACAGGATAGTTAAAGAGAATATGTAAATTTAATTATCTTGCTTATGATAAGTCAAATCTCACAGTATATTTGTTTTTGACATGAAAATACTATATACATGGTGAGATCCAGCTAGAATAGTGATAAGGGCTGAGAGTTCAATCACTTTAATATGAAATGCATGTAAGGGAATGATCCATGTGTTGGTCTGTTATTGCAATGAAAATCAATATTTGCATTATTGTGGTGAAAATCACTATCAAACACTTTATAATAGGACAAAATTCAATGAATCAATTTATTCAAAACTAAAAAAAAGCTTTGAAGGTGATATATTCATGAGTCATTAATAATCTTTTTGTGTCCTGCTGATTTTATAGCAAAGGCATATTCACAAACATTATTCTCTTATTCTTTTGACACTTGAGAATTCCCCCTCCCCTCTGCTTCAATAACTCCTCCTTGCATTGGAAGTAACAATATAATACAAAACATTAACTACTGTCTTCATATTTTCATGGAGAACAAAGGAGGCATTAATCAGCCTTTGCATCCCTCTCATGACATACCAAGAGTACCAATGTCTTCCATGGAATCATTGTTGGGTTTGGATTTCAATGTGGTCCTAATTTAATTGTCATAATTCTATCATTGTAATGAATAAAGAAATGCATACGTCATTGATAACCCCTCCTGGTGGTTGCACGTTAATCATGAAACCATTGTTTTATCATAGATTATTTAGTGGTATCTATTGTTAGTATTGCAATGAATAGGATATTAGTTTTTATTTATGTTTACTTTATTGTATTTTGAACAACTGTTGTCTCATGATGCAGGTTCGCTTAGACCTTCTTACTGCAGTTATGAAGTGTTTTTTTAAGCGACCCCCTAAAACTTAAAAAGCATTAGGAGCTGTTTTTGCTGCTGATCTTGCTGATTTTCACCAGGTTTGAATACTTTTCTTATGACTGAACTTTTCTATTCTCATTTTGAGTGAATACTTTTGACAGGGAAGTAACTATTCTGAAAGAGTGATGTTGATTTACGATGGTCTCCACTATGATGCATTAGTGCTGAGTAATTTTATATACTATAAATTATTAATCTTCAATTCATTCTTTTTCATGCATTGTTTTAATAATGTTTTTTATTTTAAAAAATAATATTTAACTATAAGTGAATAAAAAAATTATTTAACTATAAATTATTCTATTATGTGGTTTGACAGAAAATGTGAGAAACTTAAAAAAAATGCAATTTTGTGGCGGG